CCGAGGGAGGAGGCGGCCGGGCCCGGGCCCGGGCCGTGCGCTCCGCGGGCGGGCGGGCTCAGCCAGCCGCTCCCAGCAGCACCACCGGCTTTACTGCCTGAAGGCCGGCGGGACGGGCAAGGTAAAGGCTGCGGGAAGCCGGGGTGCACCCCCGCGGGAAGGAGGAGCCGCGGCCACCCGGGGGTGTCTGGCATCCGGAAAGATGGAGAAGCAGGGATCTGGGGCACAGCCAGCGGTGCCCGCAGTTACTGGGTTTGCTCTTGCACCTGTCGCCCCCAGGGCTGCACACGTACCCCTCGCACTTGGTGCCAGTCTGCCCTGAGGCTCTGGGAAGGCGGTGAGCACCGGGCTTGCTGCAGATCGCGTGCTCCAAGCAAGGCCCTGGGCTGCTGAGCACACTTCAACACAGAGGAGAGACTGTTTTGCCTGGGAGTTGTTAGAAAGCCAGGCCCTGAGCAGGATCAGTAGAGCCAGGGTGAGAGCTAGCACTGCCTGCTGATGCTGCTCTTCTGGGTCTGGTGCTGGGTCCTGCGTCTCCCCATCTCTGAGCTCTGCCTCACTGTTTGCTCACAAGTAGCAAGCAGGGAAAAGAAGCCGCTCAGTCGGCTGTGATGCAGAATGGCTGCTAGGCAAAGGACCATACGTGGAAAGGTCCTACCTGTGTGCGATTTAGGGCAGTGGGCTGTGGTGGGCGCTTCCGCCAGGCAACTGTGCCAGTGCGCTTCTGTGCCTCAGTTCTGACTTGTAACAATCCCTGTCTTTAGTGACAGGACAACCACACAGACGTTACCAGTCGTGCCACGTGATCCTGCTGGTGGTATGATGTGCACAAATAGCAGCAACAGCAGGTGTTTCTCTTTACATCCTCAAGCAGTCTAGAAATAACTTATGAAGTGCATGTCAGGACACTGGGTTGCATCACAATGTCACTTCATAATGATGCAATTAGTGCCATGTTCAAGAGGGTGGCACAAATTCATTCCAAGGGTGCCACGTCTCATTCCTGAAATCACGGTAAATTAGGGGATCATCTCAGCCTTATCTTTGCTATTTTGGATATGGGGCAGGGCATGGATTCACTGTGTGTGTACAGCCATCCTGGTCAGCAGCCTTGCTGGGTAACACATGTGCTGTGTGCCACAACAAACAAGTACTCCGCATGTGATCCTCACTAACCACTATCCCTATCCCTTCACCAATCACTATCCCTGATTCCCGTGATCAAAGGGCATCAGTAGCTATTGAGCATGGGAATTAGGGATACACCCCCGAACCAGAACCTCTGAAAATCTAAACGCTGGAGGCTGCAACTAAGAGACAACCCTGATCGCGCCCAGTGCACTCGCCTTTTCAGCATCCCCTCTGCCACTGTGCGACACAGAATATTGGGCAAGATGGACCTAGGGCCTGGCCCAGTAAATGGTCATTCTTATGTTATCACAAGACTTAAAAAAAAAAAATGCTATTTTTTCCAACTCTCTCGTGCTTATTTTGACATTGCAGCCTTGCCTGTCTGCATAGACCCTGAGGATAGGGCTATACGTTCAAAAAACAGGTGGTGCTCTTTTTTGAAAGACCAAGCACATTGGACTGCAGGTTTTCTTTTTTAAGAGGTGTGACTTGCGACTGAAGTATAGTTAAGTGCTTTTGGGCTTGGCTTTGGTTTCCAAGGATGGCTTTACGAAGAGAGGGTGTGGGTGTGTTGAGATTGCCAATCCTACAGACTTAATACCTGGGAGATGGATGCCCATTGCTCTCACCAGCCTGAAGGAGAATTGCTTGCAGACTGGGCTGCCACTCTCCCCAGGAGATCTTTCCTAAGCTGGGAAGACTGTGAAAGGCAGCAGTCAGCAAATACCTTTAATTATTCATGGTGTCAGAAAGTAGAAAGCTGAGGAGCAGTGCCAGAGGTTCAGGAAAGCAATGCTAAGGGTGGGGGCTAAGGGCTGTCTTTGCTGGCTTCATGGTGCTGGTCAGGGTTGCACAGCTCCGTGGCATGACGACGTGTGCACCATGCCCACATTTCAAGGCAAGCAGCAAAGACTGCTGCGTCTAGTTGAAACTGCAAGGAATTTGCAGCCTCAAAATCTGTTCCCTCCGCAGCAGCTTGGCTGGGGCATTGGGGGACTACATGTGAAATAGGCCATGGGATTTATAATGATCTTGTTAGGCTCCCAGTCTCCCTTCTTGTCTGAAAGAGGGGGGCAGGCCTCCTGAGCACAACCCTCATTTTCTGTACAAGCAAAGAGCACCATTGCTGCGTATCCTTTACAATACCCTGTGCAAATCCCAACTCAGACCAACCCTGCCTCAGACGGAGAAAACTGGTGGAGGTCAGAAGCTGCTTTACATAACCCAGAATTTTCTGCAGGGCAGAAAATGGAAAGGCGGGACTTAATCCATGCCAGTGCTACCCGCTTCCCAAACCTCCACGAGCACAAATGAAACTTGCCATCTGTCTGATGGATAAAGAGATGCTGTTGTTCAGCTAGAAATGTAATCCAGCAGTAATACCTTTCCACAGAGCTGTGCAAGGGACTGAGATGGCTGGCAGGGGAGTCTAGCATTTCAGCCAGCCTTCAAAAGGGGATGCTTTGCTTTTCCTCACCTGCGTTTGAATGCAAATGTGTGAGTCTCCCCCCCACCTGTCCCCTTGATTCTTGAAAGTTGTCTGCTGGGATTGCAATCCCTAAAAGAGGGAAGAGGAACAATCAGGCTCTGTGCAGTCATGTGGGCAATTGCAAGCAATATATACTTGCACCTCATGCTACCGGGGGGGGGTCAGCTTTTTAGTTTTACTTTTAAATCAGCTTCTCCCTTGATTTTTCTTTTTAGCTCACGAGAGCTTTGGACATTCTTGGACTCTTTGTTAGGAGAACGTATTCTTCGGCTATCCCTCAATTCAAGGATGAGGTCTGCCAGGGGGAAGAAGAAGAGCATGTAAGCTTCCCTTCCTGCCCTGCATCAGCAGTATTCAACCTTTATGCTAGTTCATAGACCACCGCTGATTATACAGCAGTTGAATGTGTATGTTCCTCTCTTGTTCTAACTAACAGCACTGCTTTGTTATTTATTGACCTGAGATAATCCAGGCTTGCACCATCATCCCCTGCATTATCAGAAATCTTTAGTGGAAGCTGACTGGCTTGTTTCCATTTATGGCTAGCAGTTTCTGAGTAGTTAATGTTGTAGTTAACAGTGTGTTAGGTGGTTCTGTACATGTACTATTCTTATGAAAGAGGGATATGTGGAGGAAGATGTGGCAGGTCTATGAAATCAGGAAGGACTTGAACAAATAGGGAACTGCTATGCACTGAGTCCCAGAATAATACAACTAGGGAGCAAACATTGCAATTGGCAGGAGACAGATTTAAAACTAACAAGAGAATACTTTTTTTTTTTTTTTAACACAGGCTTTAGTTTACTCTTGGAACTCATTGCTAGATGGGCAGCTGCTGTGTTTAGACAGCAGCTGTAAATAGTGATTTTCATTTTAAAACAAAGCGGCTGTTCTAGCTCTGCCTTTTGGGTTCACTGTGGTTGTAGGGACTGACTTTCTGCAAAGCATGCAGGCTGCCATATAAGTGCTACTACAATCACTGAGACATAGACACACACTCAAAATGCTTGGCTGACTTGGGCCCTAACTGACTTTCACTGTCTCTTCCCTTTGTGGAAGTATGTCCTATAGTAAAAATTCTTGCCTCGGATACATCCCTCACCAGAGGTGGGAGGGCTTTAGAGGACCTGCCCTGATCTGCCCGTCTGTGGCTCTTACTGAATGCTTTCCTTTCTCTACCTATTTGGGTGCAATTAGTGTCTAAGAAATGCAGTGATGTGTGGGTATGCAAGCAAGCCTATTTAATTTACACTAGGTCTCAGAAATCTTAACCCAGCTCGCTAGCCAGCTGCATAGCTTGAGCAAAATATTTCACATGGGTGATGTCACATTCTCCTAGGCAGCAGCACAGAGAAGATGCGCATGACCCAGGGGAAGCTTCACCCATGAGTGACTTGCATGGAGGGGAGAGCTCCTGGCAGCTGTGGAGGCAGGGTCTGAAATAATTTCTGTTGCTTACAAAACTCAACCTTTCTTTTTATTCCAGGGACACAATCCCAGCTTCTCTGCCCAGATCTGTGCTGCAAGAGCAGGAACTGAAGCTGGATTAAAAAAAATGAACCATAGCCTACCCTTTGGACAATCACAGCTTCAGTGCTACTGACTTTAATGAAACTTAAGCATATATTGTAAGCATGTGCCTAAGCCTGTCGCTACCCATTAAGGTGCTTGAGCACATACTTAGAGCTTTTCTGAAGCTTGGAGGATGCAGACTTAAGCGCTCAGAGGGTTCAGACTTAAATAACAGCAAGGCTTCCTCTCCCAATGAGAAGATTAACTGCATTAAAAATTCATGTGACACAGGAGAACCTGACTCTGTCCATTTCCTGTTTTTTTCAGTTCTAAGCTCTAATCAGTCAGAAAAGCAAAGCAGGTATTCTCCCCACCCTAGGAGAAAATAGTTAAATCCTTGTGTTAGATGACAACCTTCCCATAACTGGCTGTTTAGGAACCATGTGTTTCAGCCATGGTTTAATGAGCAGACTTTTTTTTTTGGAATACAGACATACATCTTAAAAAGAAAATCTCTTGCAATTTCGTTCTTTGACTCCTGGACATGTCTGCTGTCTCAAGCCATATCTCATCATCATGTAGCGTCACTGCATGAACAATAGTTTCCAAAATAGTCACTAGCACTAAGCACCTTCCTCCTGCTAGCTTTTTCCAGCTTAGCCTAAGTTAAACCTTTTGCAAGGTGCATTGTCAAAACAAGGGGCCTGCTTTCTCTTCCCAACTAGTTCAATTAAACTCTTGTGAGTCAGAACCCAGGACTGGGCATCCAGATTCTTAGATTTCTACTCTTAGATCTGCCATGAACTTTGTCTACTTGGACAGTCACCCTTTAAAGGGCAACATATCTCCTCTGCATCTGAGTAACGTGGTAAAACAGGTGTTAGTCACTGTGCTGCATGACTGAGGGAAGTAAGTAATCTTACATTCAGTGGGAACTTTTATTTTGAAAAATCTTTTTTTAATTCTTTTCAGTACTGCTGTTATGTTGCATGCATCAGCCTTGTTGGGAGGCACTAACGTGGGTGTTAACATATGCTAGATGGGGGAGGGGGATTCACAGCACATATGCTCCTGCTCTGCATAACTTGTTCAGACTCAGTAACATTCACCAAGTGAGAAGGGTGCAAGATGCCCAGCACAGATCATACGTTTTAGGGAGAATTCCAGTGCAGTTTTAAGTGTAATGATGGCGTCCTGAAGTGTGATCAGCTGCAAAGAGGTGGTGTGCTCTTTGCTCTCCGTCCATTTCTTTGGAGTGGTGTTTGGAGTTGATATTTGATCATAGTTTTAGAAGCTCTCCTTTGCATGGTAGAGAGGAGAGAGGTGGCTGATTTTCAGACACTGATGTACACTTGCTTCTATACAACTCGTGAGCCTACTGTAACCATCCTCCTCCTAGGGAGGAGACAATGGATTCCTTTGCACAAGGACTCTAGCAACGTACATCACTAAAGAAGCTCCCTTGCAATAATTTTGTAAAGCTTCAGCAGCTGTACTGTTCTTTAATAGGTAGTTTGTCTAGATGCCTTCATCCTGGCTCAGGAACCTTTCCCTTCCTGAGATGTGTGCTGATTGTTATCTTCCTTTCCAAAAAAAAGGAGTTACTATATCTTAGATTGACAAGGTTATCTGGGAAAATGTTGTCTACCTATGTCCTTAGACCAGGGGTGGGCAAAATGCAGCCCGTGGGCTGCATGTGGCCCTCCAGGCCATTCTATCCAGCCCGCAGGTCCCCTAAAAAATTTAGAAAATTAATATTTATCTACCCGTGGCTGCCTGTCATGTGGCCCTCGATGGCTTGCCAAAACTCACTAAGCAGCCCTCCACCTGAAATAATTGCCCGCCCCTGCCTTAGACCAGCATGGCTATAACCAGCACCCTCTATATCTTAGATTAACACCCTGAATATGCCCAGAATGGACTGCTTCTGAGCTATAGATTCAGTTGGAAAGAATGCAGTAGTTATTGCACTGAGGGTTTGCCATTCCAAATACTAAAATAATTTAATTGGGCAACAAGTGAGACATGAATGCCCAGAACAAACAGTTCTTTCTCTTAGCTTCACCAGGGTGGGGAAATGCAGCCATGTGACAGCAATCTGAGTTATTTGGCAGACTCCTTTATGCATTATATCCCGGCAGGAAGGTCAGGAGAAAATGGTTGGGGAACAGAACTCCGGGGGCACTGGTAGCATCGGCCTTTGTTGTAGCAGAGCTAAGAAAGCCAACGTTCATGATTGTTGCACCACTATTTCCAAAGTACAGTCACTAATTGGAACCATCTCTGCCCTCAACAAATCAGCGTACACTGCAGGCCGTTTACTGGAACCTACTGGAGAGCTGCAACTCCGAAATCAGGTCCAGTTTTTCATCTGCTAGTTTGGGCTAGCTAGGATCTCATTAGCCACTGCTCCAGAAGAAGGCAAAGACTACAGGTACCTAGCAATTCAACACGATTCTGCTCTAAACATTTCCAAGTAACATCTTTCACTGTCATCCAAGTAAAGACTTCCATGCCATTTGCCAGATTCACTAATAAGCATCTGCTGCAGAGACAATTCATGAATGGCATTTGGGTCACCAAAAGGCTTCACTTAAGAAGTTTCGTGTAAGGTTTGACTTTAAAAAAAAAAAAAATCACTTCAAAGATGCAAATTACAAGTATTTTTTAAAACTTGCCAGGGTTTATTACCTCATCATACACAGAAATGACTCTTCATGAATTGTATTCCAAGGGTGGATGGTAGCTATTTGACATCTCCCCTCCACAGTGTATTGTACAGAATCACCAAGTAGGCAAATCGTAGTGAAAAACAAGAGTGCAGTATGTGAAAGGACACTACAGTTAGAAAGTGGATTTTTACCCAAATGCCCTGAAAAATCTTGTCCAAATGCCTCACTTATAACTGTTCCATGATGACATTCAAATCTTTCCTCTGCATTGTTCAAAAGCTCCCAAATGTGTTCCTTATCATTTTCCTCCATATCAGACACCAGAGTGAAACAGCGTGAAATCACATTCACTGTAGTCACCATATTAATCTGGCTGTCTGTTTGATCTCTTCCACCAGTGCTTCAACGTTATGACAGAGTGCACCAAAGACACAGAAGAAGAATACACAACCAGTATGGCTAAGGTTAAGCAGCAGAAAATACACACAAATATAGTGGTCCGCAAACCTCATGTCTTGTTCTCCTTGCTGTGTGCTGCAATGCCTTTGTAACTCAAAACTTGATAAGTATTCTAGTTATTGGAAAAGTCACTGTAGCTCCAGGTGGTCTCTAAAGATTCCGCCTGGTGTGGAGAAATCTGCTCCACACAAAGGGGTTCTGTCCTGCTGCTAAGAAGTGTGCAGACACCTCAGAGCCTGGCACAACAAAACCACTTCACTTGGCAATGTCGGGATTCCAGAGCCCTCTGTACATTCATTGGTCTGGAACAACGGACTGAATTCAGAACTGATGAGTCAATCCTCTCTTCGTTCGTCCACAGCCAAATTGTCATTTGTTGGCCTCTTTGAAAAAAAAAAGGAAGTCAGAATTTATTGCTTTTTATTATCAACAGTAGTCAGGAGGAAGGACAGACAGGTGAACAAAACCAGAATTCTCTGGGCCATCAAAAGCAAGCCTCACGTTGTTCACTTCACAATCCCTTTCTTTCCAGTTTTTCCAGGATGGCCTGGATTCTGTGGACAGCCTCTTTCCTGGCTTGTCGAACATTGTCCTGGCCACCCGTCTCGATGGAATCCAGTTCCAGCAGCTCCTTGGTCAGCATCTCTTCCAGCAGCCGGAAAGCCTTGTCTGTCTTTCTGCCTACAAATTCATCCACCTCTTGCTCCAACTGCTCAACCTCCTCCATAACTCGCATGATGCGCTGAATCCCTGGCTGAACACTCAGGCAGTTTGAAGAAGGCTGGTCACTTGCTTTAAAACCTGCATCCTGGGTCACAGCAGCTTTCCTAGGTACATTGTCATACATTTGGGGCTGTGCGCTATATTGCACCTTGGGGTTTGGAGAGGGTGGTTTGGAGTGGAAGGGGGTTGGCTTGTGATCATTCATTGTCCCAGAGTGCTGGTGATTGGCTTCTGCAAAGTAGCTGTGCTGGCTTGTTCCTTGCTCTGGTTTGTCATAAGCATCCTAAATCAGAAACAGAGGTGTTTTTAGTTTGGTCCCCTTGACATCAGCGTGTATCCCATGTTCTACATCTAGGAGGGCGTGCAAGCAGCCCAACAGGAGCTGGGAGGCCCAGGCTGCTGAAAGAAGGTGTGCATGCCTAAGGTGGCGGGCAAAAAAGGTTCAGGCAGGGAAGTTACCCAGGATGAGGGTTGCAGTTTGAGACTGTCACGCACCGTGACATCATAATATGCCATGTCCTAGTAACTGACATGCAGATGGCCTTACACGAGTGCTGCTGCCCAGATGCACCTCCAGAAAGGAATGCTTGGGCAGTGAGCTGGTGCTCAAACCTTGCGCCCACCTAAGAACTAAACTCCAGCCAGAAAAACCTCAAGCAGTTCGCAGAAGGCTGCATCTGTAGGACGATAGCGTAAAAAGCTTTGAAACATTTTGTAGTGCGGCCAGGTCAGGATCACGCTTGCTACAGATCTTTGAAGACAGCGTGTGTGAAAGGATTCTAGTACCATTCCTCTGGTCAGTGCCAATGCATCTGCATCTCAGGTAGGGTACAGGGCAATTTTATAACAGATATTAGATAAAAAAAGAAATCTGAGTCCTAGCGATTAGAACTCCACCTTGGGACCTGGCTGGCAGGCCTTGCCAGCACTACCACAGCTTTTGTGGGGCTGGTTTCAAGGCCTCTCATGGTTGGCCAGACTGGGGGCGTGGAGTAACGAACTGAGTGCGTGCACTGTCCAAGAGTTATTTCCCCAGCACTGTATTCTTAGCAAAGTCTCTATTGGAGCATACTGATGCCTAGAAATGTGCTTGGGAGGAAACAAGGAAGCATCCAGACAGGAACAGATCAGCTGCATCTCCCCTACTTTCCAGAATCAGATGCTTTAGAGATAGTGCAAGAACCCTCTGCACAAGAGACATGTGAGATAATCCCATAGCCCAGCAAGATTTGATCCTAATCCTTGCTAGATACTGTTCTAAGACTCAATCTCTGACGTCTGATATCAGCTTCAATACCCTTAATTTCCAGCATTAAAGTGGAACTCTTGATATCTATAAAGGATACCCAAGTTATGTATCCAGAAGAAAATACTTGCAAGAGTTCATAGGATTGCATTACCTCTTTGCTCCCAACTACAAACCATTTCCTTTAAAAGGCAGAGGGATTTCAAATAAATGAGATGCCAGTGTTTCAGAGATAGCATAGTCTAGTGCTCTGACTGCAAATCTGGAACTAGAGGATATTATCCTGGCTTTGTCAAGCTGCCCCTGTGGCAGGTCACAACAAATCCCCCATGCAGTGTCTGTAGTTTAAAGCAAGATGTAAGGGCAAACAGTGCTTCATTCCCAAGTGTGATCCTCTTTGTCTGGCCCAGGTGGGAATGGGAGGCACTGGAGAAGTGGCATACCTCAACTCTGTGAAGGGAATGTTTGCATTTTTACCTATGTGACAGATCTAGGACCAACACTAGTAGGCTCCATAGCCTTGAGACCATAAACCTTTACCTTTGTCTCATGAACTGGAGGGTGTGGAGCAGGAACTCCGTTGCCCGGCCAGGATGGATGCGACTCAGAGACGTACGGGTTCCCATGTGTTGAAGCAGCTGACCAGCCATAACGCGGCTGCATCCCATAGACTCCTGAGGGAGCCCACAACTCCTCCTGGGGTCTTGGCTGCGACGGGGGGCCCTGCGGTGGAATCCCCGGACTAGCATCGCCATACGAGTAGTGTGGGACAGCCATGCCTGGCGTCTGCAGGGAGAACAGACACCACCTCTGAAATCACATCCACTCAGCCAGCAGTAATCCATACCAAGGTGCTCCTTGTTAGGAACAGCACGGTTGGACTGGCTATCCTGGCTCTGCTGGGTCAGCCCTTCTACTCTAGCTCTACAAAAAGGAGGTGTTACGCATTTCAGACAGGGAGGGCTTCTTGGGACATTCATGCAGTGGAGTTGTTGTCTAAGCCAGCCTGGTACAAACAGATCAGACTGCTGGATAGTTCACCAGAGACAAAGCGCCTTCGACCTTCTATTGGATGGAAATGCCTGTCAGGACTGCAGCCTTGAACATAGGACTTTGGTTTCCCCAAAGCAGCAGCTACAAGTGGATGGGTAGGACCTGCATAAGTCCTTTATCACCCTCCCTGGTACCCAGTTGACTGGTCAACTACTTTCTCTACTTCAGGGAAGAGGAACAGCTTTTGCTAATCCTTGACTTTTGCTCCTGTCCCAGCCTGCTATTGGACTCTGCTTGCTAACCCTGACATTGACTTTGGCTCCCCAGTACTGGCTCTAATGCTCTGGTCCTCCAATCTGGTAACCCCAATCCCCAACAGGTACCTGACAATAGCGAGAAGCAGGAACTGTGGAGTCTGTTTCTTGAGCTCGGGGATTAGCAGCTGGTAGCTGGAGAGGCAAGCTGCACTTTGCAGTGTGCTTGCCAGGCTTTGGTTGAGGAGGGCTGTACTCAGCACCACCAAGTACCTGGCTGTGAGTTTTGCCCACCCCAGGTATGCGTCCAGAGGAAGTACCCATTGTTGCCTGTGTCCTGGCTTCCTTACCTGTGGTGGGGAATACCCTGGGACATGCCTCCTGAGAGAGGAGCTTTCTGCTGTGCAGTCTGCTGCGGGGTAGTTCCAGTGAGAAGCTGGTGATGGAGACCTGTACATGCCTGGAGATTCTGCAGGGTAAGGGGGCTGTGGGGGCCCAGATGAGTAGTAAGCGTTTGATTGTGTCAAACTGGGATAGTGTGCAGGAGCCGAGGGGTAATGGGTACCATAGCCTCCATTTGTGTAGGGAGAATCCAGCCCCTGAAAAGCAATCAGAGAAGGTACTAAGAACCTGGACTGGCTCTGGGCTCCTAGGTCTGAGAGTACAGAAGCAGAATGGTTTGGACAGCAGTAAGAACAGCATTTTAATTTTTACAAGTCAAGAAATAATGTATCCAACCCAATCTGGTTGCTAAGGGATAGTTGCATGCATCTACTTCCTCACTTGGGGAACTGTGTGCAGCTGGTAAGTCTGTTGTGGTGGAAGGGGATGAGGGAGGGAATGAGCATTGTGTGTGGGGGGGCGAACAGATCAACATCCCCCATGGTGAGGGACGGGGCAGGGGCAAGTGCTGCCCAGCCAGGGGGGGCAGGGCGTGGGACAGAGCCGCGGCTCCCAGGGAGTGGAGGAGGCGGCTCCCACCGCTGCTTGCACCCCAGGAGGGCATGGGGGGGCAAGTGCTCCCAGATCTGTGTGGGGCAGACAGGCTGCAGCTGCAGGCTGGAACCAGGGCTGAACCGGGCTCTTCTTGGCAGGGGCTGGGGCTCAAGGTGGGAGCTTCAGCCACCACAAATTTCGCTGTACTCCTACTTCCAGCCCCGCCGCAGCCCCAGCTCTCCCGGCGCGTGGGTGGAGGCAGGGCATTGAGTCAGGTCTGTGGCAGTGGCGCTGGAAGCAGGGCTACGGCGAAATTTGGGGCGGCTGCAGCCCCCTCCCTGAGACCAGCCCCTGCCAAGAAGAGCTCAGCTCCAGCCCGCAGCTGCAGCCTGCCCTCCCCACGCAGATCCAAGGGCACATGCCCCCCTCCCTCCCAAATGCCCTCCTGGGGTGCAAGCAGTGGCAGGAGCCACGCCCCCCCAGGAGCCGCGGCTCCGCCCTGTGCCT